TTAGAAACATCCCTTGGGCTGTCTTGTGGTGGCGAGATGGGAGCGGGCAGGAGATCAGGTAGGAGGCTGGGGAGGTAGGGGGAGAAACAGCCCAGCTGGGACCCAGGGCTGGGCTGCAAAGACAAGGGAAGGTGGAGCTCAGGAGACCTGGGCGGCAGGTTCCCGAGCCTGCCCCAGTGAGACTGAGGGAGAGAGGCGCCCGTGGACCCTCTGGGCGCCCAGAAGGGTAAAGAAAGGGGCAGAGGCTGGCGGCAGGTGCACGGGGTCGGCTGCACCACGCAGCCAGGGCGCCTGTCTGTGGGTCTGCGCGGTCCTCTGCTGCCCCCTGCTGGCGCCGCGTTGACTCTGGCAAAAAGGATGGACCCAGTAACCTCAAACCCCAACCAGCGATAAAAGATGACATTTCCCCGGGCGAGCATGCTGCCGGTGCACTCACGTTCACTGTCCCCATCCCACGCCCCCGACCCGGGTCTCCAGCTGCCTTCTCCTGCCAACACGCTGAACTGAACTCAAACTCTACCTCCCAAACTCTGCTCTTTTTTTCTTTTCTTTCTTTTTTAACAGCTTTATTGAAATACAATTCACAAACCACACAATTCACTCATTTAAAGTGCACAATTCAATGGTTTTTAGTATATTCATAGAATTGTGCAGCCATCACCTCAACCAATTTTAGAGCATCTTCAACACCCCCAAAAGAAACCCTGTACCTTTTAGCCACCACACCTAAATTCCCAGCTCAAGCCCCTGGCCACCACTAATCTGCTTTCTGTCTCTATGGATTTCCGTATCTGGACATTTCATATAAACGGAATCATACACTATGTGGTCTTTGTGTCTGGCTTCTTTCGCTCTGTATAATGTTCTTAAGGTTCCTCCCTGTTGCAGCATGTGTCAGTATTTCATTCCTCTTTAGGGCTGAGTAATATTCCGCTGTATGGATACACCACATTTTGTTTATCCATTGATCCACTGATGGACATTTGGGTTGTTTTCACTTTTTGGCTATTATGAATAATGTTGGTATGAACCTTTGTGTCCAAGTTTTCGTGTGGACACGTCTTCATTTCTCGCAAACCCGGCCCTCTTGCAATGTCAACACTACCACTGGCCCCTGCCCTCCCGTCTGCAAACCAGACACCTGGGGCTTTCCCCTCTCCAGTAATCAGCTCTCTCAGCTTCATCCTCCCTCATAGCATCATCCCCCGGGGACATTATATTTGGTGCTCTTTGTCGTCAGCTCTCTGAGGACAGGGATCTCTGTGTGTTTTGTTCGTGGCCGTCTCCTCATTGCCTGGAGCAGCTGCACACAGCAGGTGCTCAATAAATGTTTGTTGAATGGGTGAAGGAAAAAGTTATTGACATGACCTTCTTCATCCCCGCCCCCAATCTAATCCAGGAGCAAATTCTATCAGTGTCTCGTTTTAAATATCTTTGCTTTGTGCACTTCTTCCGCTGGCCACCCCCCTCCCTGGTCCAGCACCTGCTGAATGAATGAATGAGTCATGGGATGAGTAAATGGAAGAGGACACGTCTGCCTGGAAATTTCTCTCAGGAAAGCACAGTGGCTGAGAGCGTGGGCTCTGGTGTGAATCCTGATGGTGTGTTGATGGAGCTGTTCACACATATTTTGGTTCTCTCTAGTCTGGGCTTGTAGTAGGACTGCACCTGCCTAGCCCTCTGGACATCAGATTGTGCCATGTGACTTGCTTTGACCAATGAAATGTGAGTGGCAGTATCACTTCCCGGTGGAAGTCTTTAAAAGCTAGTGCTTGTTTTGTCATGTTCCCTCCCCTCCCCTAACAGTGACTGGCTCTGTCAGTCTGGTTCCTGAAGGAGGAGAGGGGAAGCAGAACTCTCCTGACCACTGGCCTGGAATTACTCACATGACCACACTCAGCTGCGAGGGATGCTGGGAAATGTAGTTTGTATGCTTGGCAGCCATATGCCTATTACTGAAAAAAAGGAGAGAATGGATATTGGGGTTTGACAAGCAGTCGCTTGTACAGAGGAGAGGAAGGCAAGCACATGGGTCCTCCTCCTCTGGGGTTGGGGACACCTATGTGAGACGCACATGTAGCATAAACAAGAAATAAACCTTTTGAGGTTTTAAGCCACGGAGATTGTGGGGTTGTTTTTTATTGCAGCATAACCCAGCTCAACCTGACTACAACATTGGCCCTACCTCATACTCGGTGTGTGATCTTGGGACAGTGACTTCACCTCTCTGAGCCTCTATGTCTCCATCTGCAAAATGGGAGATGATAGTTCCAGCCTCCCAGGGCTATTCTGAGAATTCAAGAAGTTCAGACGTGTGAAGGCACAAAGGCCAGGCTCTATTCACTGGAGCTCTTGTTATTATTATTATTATACAGTCTCGTGCTGCATAGTGACATTTCAGTCAATGATGGACAGCATGTATGACGGTGGTCCCATAAGATTAGTACCACACAGCCTAGGTGTGTAGCAGGCTATACCATCTAGGTTTGCGTAAGTGCACTCTATGATGTTCGCACAACAATGAAATCAACTGACGACGCATTTCTCAAGCATGTCCCCATCGTTGAGCGACACATGACTGTATTTAAATCTGGCTTTGCAGTGAAGGAAGAAGACCCCTTTGGTACCCCCACTTCCTAGGGCTGTGGTAGGAGGAGCCTATATTAGCATGGTAGGGCTGCCATAACAAAATACCACAGACTGGGGGGCCTAAACAATGAACATTTATTTTCTCACAGTTCTGGAGGCTGGGAGTCCAAGACCAAGGTCTCAGGGGGTTGGTTTTCCTGCGGCCTCTCTCCTTAGCTTGCAAACGGCTGCCTCCTCATTGTGTCTTTATATGAGCTTTTCCCCATGCACATGCATCCCTGGTGCCTCTTCCTCTTCTTCTAAGGACACCAGTCCTATTGGGTTAGGGCCCTGCCTATGACCTCATCTAATCTAACTATCTCTTTAAAGGCCCTACCTCCAAATGTAGTCACATTGGGGATTGGGGCGTCAACATACGAAATTTGGGGGACACAATTCATTCTGTAACAGAGCTGCTATCAAGTGAGCTAGAAGCTATGCAGTCAGTCTCAGAGAGCTCACTCTTGAGAATATTGCCATCTTGGAGGTGAGGGTTGCATGAATTAGGATTTAGAAAGAGCTGGGTGTAATAGAATCCCTACATAACAGTAGCTTAAACCAGAGAGGTAACCATCTAACCTGGCATGGTGGCTCCGTCCACATTGTAGTCCTGGCCCTGTCTCTCTAACTCTGTGCTGCCCTCATCCACTTAATCCCAGATGGCTCCCCCCACCACATCTTTTCTCCAGCCTAAGGGAAGGGCAAATCAGAAGAAGAGGGATCCTTTCCCTTTAAGGGCATGACCTGAGGGTTGTGTATATCACTTCTGCTCACATCCATTGGCCTGGAATTAGTCACATGACCACACCCAGCTGCAAAGGAAGCTGGGAAATGTAGTTTTTATGCTGGGTAGCCATATGCTTGGGGTTAAAAATCCTATTACTAAGGAAAAGGAGAGGGGGGTTGACAAGCAGTCGCCGGTACAGAGAAGAGGAAGGCAGGCACGTGGTCCTCCTCGTCTGGGGTTGGGGTGAACAGAGTCCCCACACCCCACACCCTAGCAGCCAGTGCTGGGGCTCAGCCCTGGCCATGTGAATGACCTCCTTCGACTTCTCAGCAGGCAGCAGGTCAGAGGCCCAGGCACAGGGCATCCTGAGAGGTCTGGGGATGGAGAAGTCCCTCACAGGGAGTATTTGCATCCTGAATTTCGAGAGAGGCAACTTCCCTTCCTGCAAATTCTTCCTCATCTTCTATAATAATTTCCTGTGGCTGCTGTAACAAATCGTCACAAACTTAGTGGCTTTAAACAACATGAATTTATTCTCTCACAGTGCTGGAGGTCAGAAATCTGAAATGGGTCTCCCCCGGCCCAAATCAAGGTGTCAGAATTGCTGCATCGCTTTCTGGAGGTTCTAGGGGAGAATCTGTTTTCTTGCCTTTTCCAACTTCTAGAGGCTTCTGCTTGTGGCCCCTTTCCATATTCCAAGCCAGCAAGGGCCAGTGGAATCTCTCTCACACCAGATCATCTGAGTCTGTGCTGTCTTGGCTTTTGGCCTCTTCCTCCATCTGCCCCCTCCCATCTCCCTGACCCCACCTCCCTCCCTTTCCCGTTTCCTTCCTCTGCTCCCACCACTCTGGCCTCCTTGCTGCTCCTTGAACACTCCAGGCACACTCCCACCCCAGGGCCTTTGCACTTGCCATTCCCTCTGCTTGGAATGCTCTCCCTCTAGATCCCCACATGGCTCCCTCCTCTCCTCCTTCAGTCTTGGCTCATTGTCACCTTCTCAGTGAGGCCTCCTCTGCCCTCCCTATCTAAAAACCTCAATCCTCCAACACTCCCCCCCCCTTTATTTCCCCAGTGCACTTATCACCACCCAACACACTGTGTATGTTAGTTATTTATTTTGTCTCCTGACTCTCTCCGCTGCCAGACTGTCCCTCTGGGAGAGCAGGAGTTTATATCTGTTCTGTTCCTTGCCAAAGCCGCAGGATCTGGGACTGTGCACAGCCCACGGCTTCTTTACTGCTGACTGAATGAATAAATTAAGGGGTGGCAGACAGGGCCCACATTTGGGAGCAGGGATGGGGTGGTAGAGAAGGGACGGATCTGCTCCAGCAGGGAAGGGGTCTGGCAGCCATGGTCACTGGCCAGGATTGTCATCTGGGGCCACAGGCCTGCGAGGCCAGGCCTTCCTGCCACATGCAGCGACCTCTGGGGGCATGTGCAGTGGGGGGCCGCCCTGTGCCCGGGAGAAGGGGCCCTGAGGGCAACTGGCGGAATGGGGGTGGGATGTTGTGGGCTGACAGTCGGGAGCCCAGCCAAGTGGGCTCCTGTGAGGTCAGGCTGGAGGGAGGCCGGAGGCCACTCTCCTCACCCCCAAATATCCGGATGGGGGGCTTTGCAGTGGGAGGAGGCAAGAGCCTGCTTTCCCCAGGCACGCAGCCCAGGCCAGGCTGCTGGCAGGACCAGAATAAAGGGCGGGTCATACACTCAGAGGGTGAGCGAGGAGCTGGGCCCGGAGCAGGGCCCATCACGGTCTCCTGTCCCCCACCCAGGACACGTGCCCAATGCCACGTGGAGTCTTTGGCCGAGTTCGCCTTGTCATGCCCCCAGCCCTGACAGCCTGGTCCTACTGGGTCTCCGGGGCCACTTTTCTGCAGGCGCGAGGCCCCGGGGGGACGGCTGAGGCTTTGCCTGGCCCGGGACCCCTTCAGGGGGTTGGCACCAGCTGGCAATAAGGGGCAGGGTCGGGGTTCAGCAGCTCCTGGGGGGAAGGAGGGGAAGAGAGAGAGGGATTGTTATTGGGGGCGAAAGTCGGTGGGGAGACAGAGAGGACCCAGGCAGAGACACGGAGAGAAACACACGCAGAGGGGATGGAGGAGAGAGATGGAAGGAGAGAGAGACGTGGACACGGGGAGGTACCGACAAGCCAGAAAAGGGGTGGACACGGAGGGACAGAGATGAAGAGACAGGAGAGACAGAGACACAGAGAGGGAGAGAGAATGAGAGAGACACAGACGGAGAAACAGAGATGTGAAGAGATACAGAGAAAGAGAGAGAGACAGAGAAAAAGACACAGAGAGCCAGAGAGAGAGAGAGACCCCAGAGGGGTAGAGAGACACACACAGAGACGTGCAGACAGAGACAGACAGGGACACTGAGAGGCAGACGGAGATCCAGGGGCAGACAGGAGGGGCGGAGAGGGGCTGAGACCCAGGCCCGGGAATGGGCCCCTGCAGTGGGGTCTGGCTCAGGCCCTGACCCGCTGTGTGACCCTGGGCAGGGCCCTTCCCCTCTCTGGGCTTCATTTCCTCCCGTGCAAATGCACAGCCTTGGAATCCTTCTACAGAGGAGGAAACCTCACCCCCAGGAGGGGAGAGGACTTGCCCAGGGTCCCTCAGTGAGGCTGTGAAGTCTTCCCGGGGAGCTGTAGACCCCAAGGGGAGGGGGTTGGTGAGGACAGCCCCGTCCCACCAAGCACAGTGGTCACGCCCCCTCCCTCCCCAGCTCCATGGGGTCCCTGACACTTCCTCCCCGCCCAGCCCCACACCTGGTAGTGGTGGTTCTCTGGATCAGGTGGCAGGGGTGGAGGCAGGGGTGGGGGCTGCAAGGGAAAATCAGGGGTGAGCCAGGTCCCTGGCTCTCAGCACCCTCCAACCTTTGACCTTTGGTGTCAGGACAGACCTGCATCCCTGAATGTGAGGCCTCTGGGCGAAGGGACTTAAGCTCCCTGCACCTCAGTGTTCTCCTCTGAGAAATGGGCCTGCAGGAGGCACGTCCTGGGGTCTGACAGTCACCCCGTTCATGCTCAGCCTTCCCGTCAACACCTGTGGCTCTAAGCTTTTATTCTTAGCTTCTTAAGTTTCTCTTCTAATTTTATTCTCATTTTTATCAGTCTTTCACCTGACTGTACAGGGAATGTGGGCTCAGTGTAGAACATGCAGACATGTATAAGACAGAAAATAGGGCCCAGCTGTCCGCCCCCACCCCAGAGACACCTGCTCTTTCTGTTGTGCTGTTTCCTTCCAGATCTTTTCCTGATGGTTTTTAAAATAGGGAGCAACCTAGAGAGTTGGTTCACAAACTGTGTGACAAGGCGCCCTGGGGTACCGCAGCCACCTCAGAGGGGAGGCCCTGGGGCAGAAGTGGGATTTAGGGCAGACGGCTGGGGGCTTACCATGGCGGCATTCCTGGATGCCGTGTCACTGAGGGGGGACACCAGGCGGACTGGAGATGGCATCACTTCATAGATGTTGTCATCACCTGAAGCAGAGGACCAGGGGAGGAACTGGCTGCTAGGTGGCCCACAGGTCCACTCTGGCTGCCATCGACATTCGCTTATTCATTCAACTAACATTTGTGCAAAGCCCTCTTCTTGGTCAGCCTTGTGCTGGGGACACAGCAGTGACTGAGGCAGCGCTGGCCCTGCCCTCCTGGGGCTCCCAGTCTGGGGCAGGAGAGAGACCCGTCCCCAGATAGGGATGACCCAGAATGGGCACGGCTGGGGGAGCCCAAAGGGCTCCTGGAGGAATCAGGGAGGGCTTCCTGGAGGAGGGGACATCTGAGACTGGAAAGAGAATTGGGAGGCGTGCAAAGGTGAGAAAGGTGGGTGCAGAGGCCTGGCAGGGAGAGAGCCGGCCGCGTTTGAGGAACTATAAGCTGTTGTTTAGTCTGTATATATATCTACATATACAAAAATGTTGTTTCTGAGGGTGGGAGTGTTACATGTGAGAGATGAAGCCAGGAAAGACAGTGGGGGCTAGTCTATGGGGGGCCTTGAGAGCCACGTTAAGGAGCCTGCACTTTGTCCTAAGGGCACTGGGGAGCCATGGACGGCCCTTGAGCAGAGGAGGGACACTGTCAGAGTTTTGGAAGCACCCTGCCCAGGGATGGGCTGGAGGCCAGCCTGGAGGCTGAGAGTTCGGTGAGGAGCTGTGTGTGGATCCGGGAGAGGGAGCCTGAGGTGGGTTGCGGCCTGTTGGTGGACGAGCCCCCCGGGTTGGCCAGGTGAGCATGGTGGTGACTGGGGACGGGAGTGCCAGCCACTGAGAAGAGGCGGAAATGCGGGTTTGCGGTGAGCACTGACGTGCCCAGAATCTGTGGGCTGAGTCTGGGGAGCCCCAGCGAGGTCTGGGTGGGGCAAGTGATCGAGAAGCCCAGAGTGGGGGGCACAAGGCGGTTTGTGGCTTGTTGGGGGAGAGGAGGGAGCCCCGAGGGGGGCTGGGTAGCAAGACCGGGCCCTGTGGCTTACCAGGGTGACGACTGGGGCCCAGCTCCCGTTTCCCTGTGGTCATCGTCCTGGGGGCAGAGGGAGGGAGCCGACGTTAGGATGGTAAGACCCTCAGGTGGGGGGAGAGAGACCGGAGAAGCCAGAAATCCCCCCAGGTCCCAGAGAGAGAGATCGTCCCTGCTTTCTCATCCCCGCCTTTTCTCCCATAACCCCAGCCACGCGGCCCTGCCTCAGTTTCCCCAGCTGCCACCTTATGCCATTGAGCAAGGTTTCCCTGCTGTTCACGCCATCTAGATCCTGCTCCATCCACCCGTTTCATGATTTCCATCATATTTCTCTTTAAATCCGCTCATTTGAATACCCTTATTTAAAAAGGACGTGACAAGACTATAGCAAATTCGTTAACTCACTCAATAAATATTTATGGAACACCAACCATGGGCTGAGCACTGTTGAAGGCACTGGGGGCACAGCTGGGAACAAGACCGACAAGGACCCCTGGGCTCCTGGAGCAGATGCTCTAGCGGGGGTAGAGAGAGAGAATTAGAATAAACGATCGAATGTTTATTCGAGCCTCACTGGGAAGGTGACATTCGAGCGAAGGCGAGAAGCAGCCAAGGGCCCAGCTGTGCAGAAATCATGGGAAGAGAGTTCCAGGCAGAGGGAACGGGCTGTGCAAAGGTCCTGAGGCAGGAACAGCAAAGGAATAGCAAGGAGAAGAGTGTGGCTGAGGCAGGGAGTGTGAGGGGGAGACTGGGAAGAGGTGAGGTCAGGGAGGTGGAGGGGGCGGCAGATGGAGCTGGGTCTGGTGTCCATGGTGAGGGATCTGAGCTGACTGATTTTAACGTGATCTCTCTGGCTGCTGAGTGGGGAGCAAACTGTGGGGGCAGGAGTGGCAGCAGCTAGACCAGTTGGAAGCTGTTACATTGTAAATGGAGAGAAAACTCCCTACAACTAGACATAAGCAGAAACTCCCTCCCATATTCAAAGAAAGTCAAACAATGGTTTCAACTTGTAGCTGGATACTGTTGCCGATTTTCTCTTGGTAAAAGTGAGCGCTTATTCAAAAGGCGTTAAAGGCTGACTAGAACCTGATGGAGACCTTCACTTGCCACAATCCGAATAATACAAGGAGAATTAAAAAAAGGAATTTTTTCACCACGTGATTCAAAGCCTTTAGAAACATCATAACCACTAAAGAGTCTTTTTTTTGGGAAATATTTCACACTTATAGAAATGTTGCAAAAATCGTACAAAGAACATCTGTATAATTTTAACTCAGACTGTTTTTATTGCCTATCGTTTTTATTCCGTTTGCTTTATCATTTGCTTGCTCTCTCTTGGTCTCTCTTTCTCCAGTGCGTACGTATTCTTTTTTCCTGAACCATGTAAGGGTGAGTTGTGTGCATCCCACGGCCCTGCGCTCCTAAATATTCCCATGTATTTAAATGTTTCCATTTTGTGTTTTTTAACATCTTGGCCCAGACTGCCATGGCAAGTGGCCTCCAGCTCTGCCCGTGCTTTGAGAACCTCTGAGATTCTTTGAGAACCACCAGCTGTTATGGAAAGAAAGCTCGTCAGAGGGCCAGGACACAAGGAGTCTAATTCTGGTTCTGGAGTTTACAAGCCACTCAGGTCTGAGTTTCTATCCTGGGAACCTATTGCCACTCACGGGCCAATTCTAGGCCGTTTGGCAAATAACTTCCTGTCTCTCAGCCTTAGTTTTTTCTAGAGACTATGGCAAACTGGCGTGAGGGCCAAATCTGCCCCATCACCTCTTTTTGTACCACCTGTGAGCTAAGAAGGACATCTAGCAGGGATGGCTTATGCGCCTCCACTACCTTTGATATGACAGTGGCAGACATTACTAATCAATCACAGCATCTTTCCCCACTGAACTTGGATGCGACCTCCAACTCCTTTTCCACCAAGCTCTCTTGTGCCTAGAATAGTGCCTGGCACATAGCAGGCCCTCAACAAATATGTGTTGACTGATTTACTGATCAGAATTGGGCTGGGACGTGAAAGTGGTTTGCCACCCCTAAATTAGAACGTATCAGGAGAAAGACAAGTAGAATGGTGAAGGTCAAGAAACCAGGGCACAGGAGTTGAAGGAGGAGACAAGACTGCTTGCTTTCATTTTCCCGGGATGATGGAATGGCAGAAAAATTAGACATCTTATCTGCAACTGGCTCAGAACCAAGGTTGGGAGAGAAAGTGCTGAACAGGCTGATCTCAGGTGAAAGGAATTTTTCGTGAGTAGACTGTCCCCTGGGGAAACAGGCCCCCACCTCTGCTCCCATACAGGGGCAGGCATCATCTCCTGGCTTTGCCTGCCCACCATCTACTCCACTTCTTTGGTAATAGCATCTGGCTTTCCTTTGGGGAACTCTTCCCCACTTTCAATCCATTTGGTCATATGTAGCTGAGTCTATTTCCAGCTCCAGGTTGCACAAATAGCCCAAGTTTTGGCCCATCAGAGCATTCCAGCACTTAGCCACAGTGATTGGTCCATGTAAGGAAATGCGATTTAAGTTAATCCAAGGAAAGTCAGTCCTGGGGCTTTTGTTGGAACTATAGGGAACAAAGTGTGGTCTATCCTCAGCAGTGGCTGTGCTGGTGGGATATAAGCCTGGAGCCACTGGGAGCTATCTTGCCATACCACAAGGGGAGAACCTGCCCAAGAATGAAGCCCACCATAGAGAAAAGCAGAGTTGAGAGGTGTATGGGCGAGTTTCTTGACAAAATTGAGTCCCTGGATCCAGCCATACCTGAAGCTCATGAAGGAAAAAAAAACTTCCTCATTTTTTGTAAGCCAGTTCAAGGGTAGGGTTTATGTCCCTTGCAATGCACAATTCTGTCTGATACAGGATAGAAAGATTCTTTTCACCTCAGGAGTTCCAAGATTTGATGAGATTGTGTATGAGTCGGATGATGTGACTCATGGAAGAATCAATCAAAGGGACCCAAAAGGGGAGGGGAAGAGACAGAAGGGAGGGAGAGAGAGGCCTGGGGCCCCTGTACCTGTGGTTCTGGCCCCTCCAGCCTCTTGTCACCAGGAGATAGGCGATGATGCCGATGAAGAGGGACCCAGTGGCAAGGGATCCAATGATGATGGCGGCCACCATGCCAGCGCTCACAGGCAGCTGTGTAATGGGCAGATCCTGGTGCTTTTCTGAGGAGGATGAGAGAGAGAGAGGACCTTGTATGTCTTGGGAGGGCCTCCCCCCAGATCCCCCCCTGCACCGGTGACTATCCACAGAGCGCTGATGTGCCATTTCATCTTCCCAGCCCAGAACTTTCTTGTGCTTTTCAGATCTGAGTATCCAGCCATCTGGTTGATTCCACTGCTCATCAAACTCAACTCATCCCAGATGGAGCTCCTCAGCTCTCCTCACCTCAAAATCTCTGTCCCCCTAGGATTTCCTACCATCGTCAGCACGTGCAAAACCTACCTCCAGACACGTTCCCCTGCCCCCACCCCGCCAACCTGCTTTTTCTTGCCTCAGTTGATGACACCTTAATCCTTCTAAGGAAAGGATGAGGCTCTGGGCTGTGTTTTGTCGGGGACAGAGGGGACTCGACATGCCAGATTTGGGACGAAACCTACCTGACTTCTGGCCCCCACCACGAGGGCCTCCAGCCTTTCGTCTCAAGCTGGACATCTGTTAGATCCCAGCCCTTCTTGGCAGCTAAGCTTGTAGACTCTGAGGTCAGAATGCTGGGGTTCAAGTCCCTGCTGCCTACTGGCTGTGTGGCCTTAGGCCAATTACTCAATCTCTCTGTGCTTCAGTTTTCCCATCTGTGAAACGAGGATAATAAGAACACCTACCTCGTAGGGTTCATTGTGAAGATGGAATGAGTCTACACACACACTGTTCTCTCAATTATCCAACAAGGTAGATTCTGCGCCATTTTACAGATGAGGAGACTGAGGCACAGAGAGGTGAAATGACCTCAGTGCAGTGATGGGATCACACCGGGCCACCTGGGCTCTGAATGACCACTCTCTGTGGCTTCTGGAAGAGGCGCCTGAGTCCTGAGAGCCCTTGCAGTGTGGGAATGAGCCATTTCAGGCTCTGTGTGGTGGAGTAAAGACCGTTATTTCCAAATGGACCAGAGTGTCATTTCATATGTATATTTGTGTAATCCGATTAATAAATACTTGCTTATTTCATCCACCTCCCTAAAAGTTTATCTGTTCAAAGTGTCCAAAACCCATTTTAAAATTTAACCTGGGAGGAAGGAGATAACCTGTGTCCACGCTTGTCTGGTCCGGGGGCATTTTGCAGACATGCGAACCAAGGCCCAGAGGGGTTGCACCAGGGCGGCGGAGAGAAGACCGTCCCTCTTCCAGACACCATACCAGCAACTTTTGTGCCTTGTAGCTTATGGAATTCCCCCAGCATGCGGGAATTTAACGGCTTCAGCAAGTGACTCAGGAAGTGGGCAAAGCCGAGGCCTGAGTTGGCTGACTCAGGGAGCTGCCCAGTGCCTGTCCTCCGGGAATCTCCCCTCCCCACCGTCGTCCAGTCTTCTTACAACATCCAGAACCCCCTCCCCCAGGATCTGCTTGCTCTGGCCCCTGTGGCCCCGGCCCCCCCACCCCCGGCCTCCCCGCCCACGACTCCCTCCCCATTCCCCGGCCTGCCCGGCCTTTGCCCATGCTGTTCCCTCTGCCCAGCACGCTCTCCACACGCTATAACTCCTGCTCATTTTTCTGTTCCCAGCTCCTTCCAGAAGCCTTCTCTGACAACCCCAGGCCAAAGAGATGGGTGATCCATTTTTCCTTCATAGCTTACTTACTTATGCAATTAGCTGATTAACGTTGGTGGAGGGGACACGGGGGCGCCTCCCCAGCACCTTCCACTTCTGGGCCATTGCGAGGCCTCCAGGGGTTCAGGTGAATGATCCCAGCCCCAGCTCTGGGTGCGGCTCTCATTAGCATATATCAATCAGTATCACTCAGACGTAAGCCAATCAGAGCTCTGCACTCCCTTAGCCTTGCTGATTGGTTCAGGTTGGTCCAATCAGAGTGAAGGGAAGGGGCGTGGTTCAGAGTTAGAGAAAAAGAGATGCCTCCTTCTGGAAGTTGTGGACTGGAGGCGTGAGGACCCTGGAGTCCTTTTGCTGCCATGAAGGCATTATCCATGCTTCATTCTTCCTTGGAAAGAGGACTCTGAGCTTTAGTTGGGCAAAACCGTGCACAAAATAAAGACATTTTCCAGCCTCTTGCGAGGACAGCTCATTCAAACGTGCCTTAAAGCTTCGTGTTGACCAAACAAAACACCAACATTGAAACCCTGGGCAATTTCACATACAAAATTCTGTGCCCAAATTTCCCCATTTTATAAGGACACCAGTCATATTGGATTAGGGTCCACTTTAGTGACCTCATCTTAACTAATTATATGTGCAACTACCCTAGTTCAAATGAGGTCCCATCAGAGGTACAGGGGTTAGGACTCTGTGTATCTTTTTGAGGGGACATCATTCAACACACGCCTGGTTCCTTGCCATCCTGGAGAGTCTTTGAGCTACTCAGGATCCTTTCATCCGTTCCTTTTCTGCTTAAATCAGCCAGAAGCAGTTTCTGCTGCAAGAACTCTGCTGATTTAAGTGATTGTGTCTTCTTTTTATAACTTGTTACATTTTCTGCTGATTATTATAGAAAGTGAGCTGGTAAAGAGGGTGCCTGTGAATCACTGTATTTTCCAAAGTTTACTGCAGCAGAATCTCCCACCCCACATGCTCTTCTGTGATATGATCTGTCATCCTCCTATTCAGCAGAAGGGTCTAATTCCCCTCCGTTGAATCTGGGCCAACCTTAGTGACTCACTTGTAATCAAAAGAATGCAGCGTAGGTGACACTGTGTGGCTTCCAAGGCTAGGTCAGAAGACGCTGTATAGTTTTTGCCTTGGTCTTTTGGAATACTCGCTCCCACACCACATGCTCTCCCTCAGAACCCAGCCGCCACGTTGTAAGGAAGCCCAAGCAATCAATTGGTGGGGCCATGTGACAATGATCAGGTTGACAGCCCCAGCTGAGGGCCCAGCTGACAGCCAGCATGAACCACCAGACATGTGAGTGAAGACACCTCCGGATGATTCCAGGCTCCAGCATTTGAGCCAACCTCAGTCTTCTCTGAGGCCCCAGATGTCACAAAGCAGACAAACCATCCCTCCCATGCCCTGTCTGACTTCCTGATCCCAGAAATCATGAACATAATAAGATGGTCGTTGTTTTATACCACCGAGTTTGTTCCACAGCAAGAAGTAACTAGAACCTAGCCCCACATTCTGTTTCTTCTTCCAGGACTGAAAATTTTCTTTTCAGCTTTTCTCTTCACTGGTCCCTGGGGCCATCTACACTCAGTTCTACCAACAAAGAATCCTCTGGCTCTTCTTCCCTGGACCAGATTTATCCATGCTGATCTTTGATTCGATACCATCACGTCTAAAAAGTGCTCTGAGAGACCATTAAGCAAATGGACAACGGCCAGGCTATATACCAAAATAGAATTCTGACCCGCGACTGCCGCAAGCTGCCTAGGAAACCAACCCTCATATAAACAGCCCAGGAAGCCAGCCTGCTGTGGGAAGCCAGACTGCTATTTCTAGTTGAATCCGGGGAGCTAAACAATAATTTTGGTGACAGTCAGCCCCAAATGGCCAGGACTTGGTTAATAACTGACAGCTTCCCTAATTTTTGTCCTGGCTTCTAACTTAGGACCACCCAGAGAAGGCCAAATATGGACCCTCACTAATCACACAGGACGCCCCGCTTCTAGCTGGCCTGCCTGCCCCTTCCCCAATCAGAGCACACCAGAGCCTCCCCCATTTTCCACTATGACTTTCCCCCTCCCCTGCCTGCCTTTGCGCCTCTGCGATAGTGGCTGACTCCCTTGCTATAGCGAACTCCGAAGAAACAGCCTTTGCTGTCCTCATTTGGTTGGTCTTTGCTGATTTCCACAGCTTTAAAAGCAGCAGCCTCCCGTGGAGTTGTGAAGCCCGTCCTCATAACGATTCTGTGATGGGAGGTGTCGCTATGGCCCCCGTTTTACACACACGGAAATGGAGGCTCTGGGAGGTGTGGCCATTTGACTGAAGGTCATATTGCTGGTAAGTACTAAACCCGCGACACCATGTCGTTAGTCCTCAATGGCGGCTGTTCATGATGAGGCAGAATAAAGTCATACTTAAGGGTGTGGGCTCTGGAGCCAATCAGCCTGGCTTCGAGTCCTGTGTCCGCTGCCCATAGCTGGGTGTCCTGGACATATTACTTAAGCTCCCTGTGCCTCAGTTTCCCCATCTGTATAGTGGGGATCATCACGCCATGGCTGGGAGCATGCAGAGGATAAATGCGTGTGAAGTGCTCTGCTCATGGTCAGTAAAGGGGAGTCAGGCTCTGTAATTAACCACCCTGAGTGTCGGAGGGCCCAGAAGGCTTCGAGGAGCCTGTGTGGATTGCTTGAAGGCCCCAAATCGCCACAACTAGATTTACGGGATGACAGACACCAGTTGGAAGTGACTGTGACCCCCATCTGTGCTTATGAGCCCAGTCTCTGTTGCTTACGGGGATGTTGGCCCACTGACTTCCCCTCTCTGAGCCTCAGTTTCCTCATCTGTAAACTGGGGACAGCCAGAGTACCTACATGTCCTGGGCCTTCCTTCTGTTTCCAGGCTGTCCTGTGCCTGCGAATCCTCCGCCCTGGGGGTCCAGCCAGAGACTCGCCTCTTAGCCTCCTTTATAGCAGGGCCCTGTCATGTCACTCAGGACCCCCATCAGATGCACCCACGTGACACTTGCCTTTGGAAGCCAGAGACACAGAGGTGCAGGCACACGCCGGGCCTCTGATGGTGAGGACGTGGTCGACACGCCCACCAACATATAAACTCCACAAGAGCAGAAATCTCTGTAGTTTCCTTCTGTAAACTCAGTGTCTGGCACACAGGAGGTGCTCAATCAATGTTTGTTGAATGAATGAATGAGTGAATGAATGAATGCAGCTTTCCAGTGCCCCTCAGGCAGGGGTCTGGGCCCCGTGCTGACACTGTGGGCAATGCTCCCTCTGGCAGGAGAAGTTCTGTGGAGTAACTTATACCCCGTCCCTGATTCCCAGCCTCCTGGAGGTCCCGCGAGCACGCGATACCTTTTATTAAACCCCTTTCTGCACACGCTGGCCGGAGTTAGCTCCTGTTACAGCTGCTAAAGACTCAGCAGATTCCCTCCTGATTGAGAGAGATAAAGCCTATGGCTTACCAGGGACACAGGAAGTGCTTCCCACCATCTCCATCCCCCACCGATGTGAGGGGCTGAGAAAGAGCCGGGTGGCAGAGGGGCCAGGGGCATGGCCTCAGAGCCGGCTGGAGCCTCGGCTCCCCCCTTCCCAGCGGCGTGGTGTGGGGCCCTCTCCCTCTCCAGGCCTCGGTTTGCCCCTCTGTAACTTGGGACCATCCCAGGGCCCACCTGCAGGGTTCCTGTGGGGATGGAAGGAGGGGAGGTTGGCACCACGCGTAGCCGGGAGGTGCCTGGCGTGTCGTAAGTGCTCCCCAGGTGGGAGATGGTGTGACAAAGTCCTAATGTGCGCTACGCACGGCTCCAGGCACCAGGGGATTCACGGTGAACAAAATGATGATAAATATCTATTGTGATTATTGCTAGAGATGGCAGGTGCTGAGTCCTCGCTCGTCTTCCCAGCCCTGATCCCCAGGCCCCAGCTCCCCATCCTGTTTGTCCTACGTGATCCCACCCCCGTGGACGAGGGGTGGACCCTGACTCCCAGGAAGGCAAACCACAGCCAGGCTGGGCCAACCAGATCCTCTCTCGGTCTCTGCCCTCTGCCTGTCTCTCTCTCCAGCTCCGTTTCTTTGGAAGAAGGGATTCAGAATATGCAAAGACGCCTGTGCTGACACCCTGTTTACTGCCCTGGCAGGAGTCCTGGCGATGGAGAGGAGAATGGAGCCCAGGAGCAGAGAGGAGACCAGAGACGGCGCCCCCTGGAGGAGAAGGGAGCACTTGCCTCCCTGACACCCCTTTCATTTTCCCACCAAGCCCTGCTGGCTCCCCACACGTTCGTTCATTCAGCAGTGTGTCCAGCCTCACTCTAGGCTGCGAGGAGACAGCCATGAACCCAGGCTTCCCGAAGCTGACATCCCAGGGGCTACGTCTGGGGCTCCACAAGGCGCCCCCCACTTTGAGCCAGTTGGAGAGAGCCTCCATCCTTATGATCTGAGCCCGTGGTGTTGGCTTTCTAGGATGCCCCTCCTTGCTCTCCTGCCTCAGTCATGCTGGCCTCCTGCCAGCTCAGCTCAGGGGTCCCACAGCTTCCTGCCACAGGCCCTTTGCACAGGCTGAGCCGTCTGTCCGAACACCTCCCAGAGCTCCTTTGCCCTCTGCTTAGAACTGCCAGTCATCATTGAGGCTTTCTTGAAGCGACGCCTTTCCAGGGCAACCTCCCTGATCCCCTAAATGAATCTCCTATTTACAATTTCATAATCTTTGTACTTTCCTTTCCTTCCCAGTACCTGCCACTGTTGACAATGATCTATTTGCGTGCATGATTATTTAGTTAATATCCATCTTCCCCACTGGGCTGTGAGCCCCAGGAAGGCAGAGCCAGGGCTGCCTCAGTCACCACTGTGTCCCCAGCACTGCCCAGTACAGGCCAGACACAGAGGAGGCCTTCGGGAGGAGGCATTTGGGGAGCATTTCTGAAAAAATGAGTAAATGAGCAAGTTAGCCTCTGCAGAGGCAGCTCTGTGTCTGATTCAGGTGGCCCTGTGTTCGAATCCTGACTCTGCCACGGATCCCATGATGAGCCACCTGATATTTGAGAGGTGCCTTAAACCACTTGAGCCCCAGGTTCCTCCTGGGTAAAACAGAGATTCAACCCATACTGCGCCCCCTGGCTGGTTACACTGTGAACCAGCTCACTCCCCTGTTTAAAACCCTTTAGTGGCTTCTTGTCAGCCTCTCCACAGCCTACAAGCCTGGCCCCTGGGTGCCTCTCAGACCCCGCCTCCTAATACCCAACTTGCTCACGGCCTGATAGCCAGGGCGTCCTTCTATCTATGCTTTGAACACACCAAGCTAGTCCTGCCTCAGGGCCTTTGCACTTGCTCCTTCCCTCTGCCAAGAGCTCTGTCCCCAGAAATCTGCAGGGCTCCCTTCCTTCTCTGCTCAGGTGTCACCTCTTCAGCGAGGCCTCCTCGATGACCTCCTATCTCCAATCAAATCATCCTGTTTACATTTTTTTTTACTGGGCAAGTCATAACCTCTCTGTGCCTCAGTTTCCTCATCTGTAAAATGAGTCTAATAAGATACCACCCACCTCCCAGGGCTGCAGTGAGGATTAAGTGAGTTACTATATGTAAAGCTGGCATGTGATAAGCACTGAATAATGTTAGCTGGCACTATTATTGTTACTGTCTCTACCTGAAATACGATCTTAATTTTAATATTTACATGTTCATTATCAGCAGCAGCCCACATCTGAATGAAGGTAGGGAGATTTTTCCGCTTTCTCTGCTTTGAGAGGAAGTGGTTAAGCTCCCAGACTCTGGCATTGTGATTTCATGGCTCAAGCTCTATCTCCTTTCTGTGCCTCAGTTTCCCCATCTGTAAAATGGAGACCATAATGGCACCTCCTTCATGGAGTTTTTTTTTTTGTAAGTTTTCATTCATTTACAGTATTTATTTACTCAACAAGCATTACTTGAGAATATATTGTGTCCTACACACCACGGTGGACGTTGGATGATAAATTAATATTGTTAGTGTGGTCGAGTCGATTCTGATTCTTAGTGACCCTGTGGACAGCAGAGCAGAACCCCACCCGGTCTGTTTGTGTCATCCTCTCCCCTTCCGGTGCTCTATCAGACAATTCATAGGGCTTTCATGGCCAATTTTTTGGGAAGTGGGTGGCCAGGTCCCTCTTCCTAGTCTGTCTAGTCTGGAAGCTCTGCTGAAACCTGTCCACACGGTGACCCTGCTGGTATTGGAAATCCCAGTGGCAGAGTTTTCAGCATCACAGCAACACGCAGCCGCCACAGTCTGACAACTGACTGACGGGTGATGTGGTTTCCTGACCGGGAAACGAACTCGGGCTGTGGCGGTGAGAGCGCCGAATCTTAACCACTAGATCCTCAGGGCTGGAGATAAAAGGGTGAGTATGATCTATTTCTCTTTTGAGAAACAGAAACACTATCCTAGTGAGACCAACCTGGAACCTGATAAATTAGAACACCTTGTGAAAGTCACAAAGGTGAAGGATGGGCAGAGTCCTACGGGTACAGAGACGCTGAGTGGTCTACCTGGGAGGGCTGAGAAGATGTTATTTCTCCCTCAGCTTTATTGAGACGTAATTAGCGTATAACATTTCATGGAGTTTTTTTTTTTAGAGATACAGATGAGTTAATATAGGGCAGCGGTTCTCAACCAGGGGTGCCATTTGGCAATGCCTCGAGACAGTTTTAGTTGTCATGACTGGGAGGGATGCTGCTGGCATCTAGTGGGGAGAGGCCAGGGATGCTGCTAAACATCCTACAGTGCATGGGACAGCCTCCTAGTCAAAGAATGAGCCAGTCCAAAATGTTAACAGTGCCCAGGTCAAGAAGTTACGCTCCAGGGCCAGTGTTCAGAACACTACCCGGTCCAAGAGATGTTGACTATTGCTCTGGTCCAGCACCCCATCTCCAGTGCTTGCCCACAGTGGATTCATCGATAAATACTTGACTTTTGAACATAAAGACTGAGTGATGCAATGTATCCCTTAGGACCAGGCGTACAGTAGGTGCTCAATAAATGTTTCATTAATTAATGCACGTGAGGAGTAAATGAGACGTTGCCTTCTCTAGGTCCTGGCTCGGTGTCTGGCACAAGGTAGGCATTCCATAGATATCTTACTAGTTAATGCCTGTGCGGAGTAAATGATATCCTCAGGACCAGCACACTGGACGTCCTCGAGCGATGTGTGTTGAATGAATGGATGAGAGGACCAAATGGGGTGGTGTTTGCACAGGGCCTGGCGTGTTTCGGCTGCTCAGGTTGTATTAGCCTCCCCACTTCCTCCCCCAGTGCCCAGCACTCACCGGCCACCTGGACCTCAGTCTTGGCCCGCATGGTCCAGGCGTGGTTGATGGTGACAGCCACCTGGTAGGTCCCGCTGTCGGCGGGCTGGGCGTGACGCAGCAGCATGGAGCCGTTGGAGAAGCCAACAATGTCTCGCTGCCCCATGGCGCTGCCGTCCCTCTGGGGCCGCTGTAGCTCTGGGAAGTAGGTGAACAGTCTCGTGCTTCCATCGGCCTCCACCCCCAGGTACCAGGTGAAGTCCTCGAAGGTATCAGGGACGCCCTGGACAGACAGGAGAAGGTCCTGGTTCTTTTGAGGGTGCTCTGGAATCTTCTGGATGCGGAGGGCTGCCCAGGAGCCTTGGGGGACCCAGAGGGCCAGGATTGAGGCTGTGAGGAGTTACAGGAGAGGCCTGAGATCAGAGGTGTTGGGTGGGGACCACAGCGTTCTCCTCCCTATAGGTCCTCATCTGGGGGCCAGGACTCTGAGTGCTGCTCATTGGAAATAGTGCAGGGATTGATCAGTGATGTCTGCTCTGGGTGCAGGAGAGGGAACCCAGACACAGATGCCCTAGATTTGCCATCCCATTGGTCCAGAAGTTTTGTCTGCCCTGAGATGCTGTGTGGCCTGCCTCTAAATACATGGACTCTCTGAATTCATTCACTCATTCATAACCAATACTTATATTCATATATATTATTTATGCTATAATACCAATTATATTTATGATATGTCTAAAATTTCCTAAATATCTAGGCACTGAAAATACAGCAGGGAGTTAAATACAAATAAATTCCTGCCCTCATGGTCCTGACATTCTAGAACATTCCATAGATAAAACGGGGATGGCGTTGTGATTCTACTGCCTCCCCATCTTCCTCTAATAATTTTATCTTTCCTGACAATCTTTCCCTTCTTCCAAGAGGAAATCTCAGTCCCTGGGATAAGTCCCACCTTCTGCTCTCAGCCCCGGGGGTACGTTTCCTCCTTACCTGAGAGCAGGAGGCCCTTTGAGAAATGGCACTGGGCCCCCGGGGGAGTCTCCATCTTGGCGTCCTGTGGAGACGCCAGGGGGCCACCTGCTGGACACGGAGGGGGCTGGAGGGCTGGGCCCCGGCTGTGTGAAGTGGACCAGCTCAGTGGGGATCCCAGGGGTGCCTCTGAGACATGGCTGAGGCCGGCTGAGCCCCAGCACCTCCTTTCCGTAGGTTCTGAGACTTCCCCTGAGCTCCCTGGACGGACGCGCAGACACTGGCTGGACCAGTTTTCCAGGGTGACTGCGGAACTTCCTGGGGTTTACTGGCTCCTCCTGTGACCCCCTTCAATCTCCTCTTCCCATTCAGAGTGACTGTCGTAGCAACAGTCACGGTGCCTCTGGTTGAGCAATGCCCCCAGGGCGGGCAGGCTCCTACAGGAAGGCCTGACGCATACCACCTCATGCAACGCCCACCATGCGTAACTGTTCCCATTTCACAGACAGGAAACTGAGCCTCAAGGAAAGAGGCAGTAGACGGAGATAGGATTTGACCTGTGGCTGGCTCACTCTGAAGCTCTTAGCATAGTTTTTCAAAAGCATCCATCCATCCATTCATTCATTCCAACACACACTCCTTATGGCCAGCCCCGTGCTGGGGACACAGTGGTGGTTGAGACAGCTCCTGCTCTGCCCTCAGTCCACAGTGGGGCTCACAGTTCTGTGTGTGCGTGTAGGACAGACCCATGCCCAGATAATGATGATCCAGAGTCACCAGCGCTGGGATGGAGGAACCCAGGTGGCTGGGAGAGCCCGAGGGGATGCTTCACTCAGCCTGAGGGGCGGGGAGGGCTTCCTGGAGGAGGAGTAGGAATGAGGCAGATGGTGGGGTGGGGTGGGGTGAGGTGTACCGGGCAGTGTAAACTGCACATGCAAAGGCGTGAGTCTGGCAGCCGTCAAGGGGCATTGAGGAAGCTGCAAAATCCTGGCCGAGTTGGGGCTGAGTGGGAGGGAGTGATCCGGGGGGAGGCTGGAGAAGTAGGAGGGAGCAACCGTGGTTTTGAGCTCTGTTGGGAGAGGGCCTGGATGATGGAGGGTCCAGGGTTTTGCCAGTACTGCAGCCACTAATCACACATGGCTATTGAAAGACAAATTTAAATTCATTAAAATTCAATGCCTTAAAAAAACTTAGCTCCTCGAACTAGCCACTTCCAAGTGCTCAACAGCCCCACGTGACCAGTGGCGATCACCTTTGACGCTGCGGATATAGAACATTCCCATCACATCACAGAAAGCTCTACTGGACAGCGCTGGTCTAGGCACCTGAGGGGGGCAGTGCCAGGTGGGGTTTACGGATCTGCAGGAGGAGAGAACACCAAGAATAGTAGTAGAGTGTGTGTCTGTCCTGGACACATCACCAGATTGTCGGAGGTGATGGCATCTTCCGGAGTCCCCAGTTTGGGACGAGAGAGGAATCGTAACTTTGAACCACCTCCGGGGGGGCAGCGTGGCTCGGGTGTCTGGACATCCACAGACTCCAGGGCTGGCCCTGGCGAGTGGGTGAGCCTGGCTTGGCTCTGCCGCCGTTTGGCTGAGACATCTTGGTTGCAAATGACTTCCCTTCTCTGAGCCTCGGTGTCCTCCTCTGGAGAATGGGGATGAGCATCCCCACCTCACATCCCCGTCCCACCAAGCTGTGGGTGGAGTAACCAAACGCTGTATGCAAGAGGCCCCGGGCAAGCACGCAACAAATTGTTATTATGACTACTGATCTTGTCTTTGGACTTGTCCTATCTTCCAGACTCTTCCCTCTCCCCCTCGTGACCCAGCTCAAGGTTAGTGCATTTTCCCTGGAGGTGTTTCCAACCCCCACCTCCCGAATGGTCCCTAATGCCCGGAAGGTTCTGCGGTGGTGTTCACGGGGTCAGAATCCCTCCAGAATCTACCCTCAGTCCTTGCCACAGTTTTGAGATTTTTCTCTGTCTGTCTCCCTAAGAGAGGTCGTTGCAGGCTCTGCAAATATTTCCAAGTGGAGCCGCCCAGGGGAGACAGCCTCAATTTTGGGCGGCCACAAGATTGCCCAAATCGGCCTTGTGCTCGTAGGAATTCGGTGTGTGACAGGAGTGGAGTTCAGGCGTCAAAGGGATTCTGATAAATTTTCACTCCTAAACGCCAGGAGCAAAGGCTCTGTCAGCAGCGCGAGGCAGTGCATGAAGGAAAGCCAGTTGCTCTGGATTTTCCAGTTGCTAAAGCTTCTCTCGCTCTCTTTCTCCAATAATGACTTTGATTCCTTTTGCATTACTAAAAGAAAAGTTGAGGTTTATTACAGAAAATTTAGGCAGTACGGACTCAAAAAGGAGAGAGTAAAATTCAACCATCTTCCAACTACCCAGAGGGAGTCACGCTAATACCTGAGGCCCAGGCTCCCATTCTCTGTGGTGCCTTCATCCTTCTGTTTTGCCAGCCCCAGAGGGTGGGCTCTGATTGGTCCAAGCCTCCCAGGCGGTCCCATTCTTCTGGCCACGGATTGGTTGAGCGGTGGGCGGTGCTGGCCAATGAGACCTGGGGGGAGGCTGCTGGGGAAGCTCACCAGGGATGGAGTGGGCTGCTTCTCTAGGTCTGGATCTGGCTGCAATGGCCAGAAGGCAGCAGCCATCTTGGCACCAGCCTGAGGATGATGTCCGTATGTGGAGGAAAACAGAACAAAGAGCAGAGAAGCAGAGGTGAACCCCACACACGGTGCCTGGAGCAGAACCAGACCATCCAGTTTTTTTTTTTTTTTTAATCCCAGCCTGGGGAGATGGGGTGGGAGGGGCTTTCTGCTATTGGCACCTGAAGCATCCTCACCATCACATTTTTATATACTGACAAAAATTCTCTCATTGACTGAACTCAGCTCAGGCTCCTCAATTCTTTTCCAACCAGCCCTGCCTTTTGGATTTCTGTGTTCATCTCTGCATTGTTTAGTTTTGGCAAAAATCCTCCTAAGTCAGTTTAACCAGAACCCCCCACTCTTGATGCCTAACCACCCTCCATATCTGATCAGGGTCCTCACCCTCCACCATCCCCAGGGTGATGTCTGGTTACCCTGGCCTGCCTCCAGCGAGAATTCTGTTAGGTCGGTTTAGCCACAATCCCCCCTTACCTCTCTTACTCTGAGCAGCAGTGGTGCAGGGGGAGGGTGTGGGGCGATCTCCATCAGAGCCCCCTCCCCATTCTCCCATATGAATAATTGTGGTTTCCTCAGTCTCATGTGAAGTTTATACAACATCTATACCAAAATTCTGGCTCCACTCGCAACTCCTGGCTCTGTGGCATCCACAGATCCCACTCCCCCCCGCCCCAAACAGGTCATTGCATCCAGGGCTGGTGTGGACGGATATCAGCAGGACTTCTCTGGAGGACCATCTGTTAATATCTGTCACAGCGACAGGGGCGCATACTCTCTGATGCAGCAAGTCCCCCTCCAGAGTGTGTCCCAATACCCACGCTAAGTGTGCAAGGTCATCCCCAACCACGTCATAATAGTGAAGGGGCAGAAACAATACGAATGTGCATCCACAGGGACCTGGTTGAAAAAGTCCTTGGCGTCCCCCCTTGGAGACCATGTGACTGTAAAAAGACTAAAGAGGCTTTCTCTGAATTTCCAGAAACTTTCAGTAATAAAAGCAAGGTGCAGAACAGTGTGTATGAAACGTTACCTATTGTGGGGGAAAAAAAAGAAAACAAAATATATTTGCAGTCTGTGCATAAATAAACTTACCAGAAAGTCGTGCCATGGTTATTCTCGGTGGGTCCCTCGGCAGGGACCCAGGTGGGAGCGGCAGATAGAAGACTCCCCAAAGATATGCGGGTTCTGATCCTGGAACCTGTGAATATGTCCCCTTAGGAACATAGGGACTCTGCAGATGTGATGAAGTTAAGGACCTCGAGTTGGGGAGATTATTCTGCACTGTCCTGGGGGGTCCTAAATGTAATCACAAAGGGAAAGAGTGAAGCAGGAAGGTCAGAGAAGGAAGAAGGCAGTGCCATGCGGGGCTGTGAGCCAAGGAACGCAGGCGGCCTCTGGAAGCTGGAAAAGGCCAGAAAAGGGATTCTCCGCCGGAGCCTCCAGAAAGGAACGTGGTACTGCCGACACCTTGAGGTTAACCCCGTAAGACTTACTTTGCATTTCTGATCTCCAGAACCGGGAGAGAATAACTTTGCATTTTTAGAGGCACTAAGTTTGTGGTAATACAATCCCCCCATCTAAAGCGTACCTTCAAATGGTTTTTGGTATATTACATGATTAATTTTTAAAAATTGTGGGAAAAGAGAGATGACACAACTTTTGCCATCTTAGCCCATTTTTAAGTGGACGGTCTAGTGGCATTACTTACATTCAAATGTCGTGCGAAACTGGATATCCATTTGCAAAAGAATGAATCTGGGCCTTTCCCTTAGACCCTACGTGCAAATTAACTCAAAGTGGACCCGGGAATCTTTTCCTAATTTTTGGTTTTGGGATGTTTATGTATTACCTAGTTAAAAAAACTAAAGGGAGAGAGAGAGAGACAAATGAGATGAGCTGGGGACTCGTGTCCTCGTGGTCTTCTTGATTCAGGGTCTCGCTTCCACGTCTCTGGCTTCGATCCACATGGTAGCAGACCAGCCCCTCCTCAATTCCCACAAAAGACCCCCTCGCACACAGCCACTCGAGGTGTAATAAATAAACTTTAATGAGGTGTTTGGCGGCTGGGGATGGACAAGTGTTTATGTGGCAGCAAGGTAACCAATCCGCCACTCATCTCCCTTGGTCTCCCCACACTGTGGAGCCCCACTGGCCTCGTCACACCTACCATCCCGCTGGGGCCCGTCCCTTCCACATCCTTTCTCTGATCCGCATGCTCTCATCTCTGTCCGGAGCGTATCCCAAATCCTTCTCATTTTCTCTTGCAAAGCAGCTCACGCCTAGCTTTCTTGTTTAGCATCCTGGGCCAAGCTCTCATCTCCCTAAGGAATTTTCTCCGACAGACAGTTCTCCCTGTAAGAGAGATTCTAGTGCCTGCCCCCAAGATCACAGACTTAAAGGAAACACATCAGCAGCAGCTGAGCAGTTCGGCCTCCTGGGTCCGGGGCTGCGTCCATCCAGGTCTGAGGGCAGCGTGTCCACACAGCATCTCATCCTGCTTTCCTTGTGGGGTCACCGGCCCCCCTTCCCCAGGGTCCTCTCAACCCCAGCACGCTGGCTACAGATGCTCTCCTGGGACCCGGGTCTTGGCAGAAGATGCCTGGAACTGACAACCTCCAGGTTCACGTCCACCAGTTGTTCCTGCTCCTCGGACAGCCCCGGGCAGCTGACCTCCAGCGTCTGGCTCTCTTTCAGTGACAGATCTTGTAACCACAGAGATTCGACGGCCACAGAGATTTAGAAGCTCAAGGCCAGAGATCAAACTCTTACAAAAATTCTCTGGCAGCTGGAACCGCCTGCGTGGCCCCACTATGCAGGAAACGATTCATTTTGCCCAAAGCGAGATTTCGCCCTTTGCCCCTGGCTCCTGGGACGTAACCTCTAAGCCCTTAGAATGTTCTGGATGACAGGAGTCTTTGTTTACTGGGGCCAGGGGCCACACCGGATAGTTTATGCTAACAGTGTAATTTACGGTGGAGGCCCTGGGTCACGCAATATTGGCTTGACCTCTGGAGGGGCTGGAGACTAAGGTCAACTACATGGGTGGTCAGCCGAGTCTAGAGGATCGACCCCAATAAAAACTCTGCGCACTGAGGCTCAGGGGAGCTTCCCTGGCTGGCAACACTCTGCCTGTGCTGTCACATGTCATTGCTGGGAGAAGTAGGAGCTGTCCATAGGACTCCACTGGCAGCGGACAACCGGAAGCTCGAGCCAGCCCCCTCCTGGACCCTGTGGCCCCCTGCGGGGTCCCATGTGTGGTTTTCACATGGCTGATCTTCATCTCCCACTTTCATCGCGATAAACCTACACGTGCGTATAACAGCTTTCCTGAGTTCTGTGAGTCCTTCTAACAAGGGACTGAAGCCGAGGGGGGCCTGGGGGACCCCTGAACTTGCACCTGCCCACTGTGTTGTGAGGTAGAGGGGACATTCTTGAGGTCCGGCATGGGGGGAGCAGCCAGTGTCTGTGGAGGGAGGCTTCGTCCACTGGGGCAGGGTCCTGCTGTGAGGCCCATGGCCTCCCCAGATCCAGTCTCTCTCCATCCAGTCCCGATGCTGTCATCTCGTGCCCTCTGTCGGAGCGTCCTGGGGAGAGCTGGCATTACGGTTCACCACTGAATAGTAGACATTCTAGAAGGGGGATATTCAAACTTCAGCCTCAAGATCCCTTCAAACAAAATCTTCCCGCTGAAGCCGAGCGTGCAAAGAGCCACAGGCCTGTCCCCTCCCCTCTGCCCGGGAGCCGGGGCAGCGCTTCTCAGGGCAGGGTCATGAGTGGGGAGAATGCAGATCCCCAGGCCCCAGCGCAGACCCGCCAGACCAGACTCAGGGGCGGGGCCCAGGAACCAGCATTTTAGCAGACCTTACAGGGGATTCTGCCTGGCAGGAAGGGCTGGGAACAGCCGCTCGAGGCATTTGGAGAAAAGATCCAGGACCTGGCTCCTGAGGCCATGCTGGCTTGTGGATAAACACCGTGGGCGCCCGGAGACGGCTGTCCCCTCCTCGAGAAAGCCCCCAGCGATGAGTGTGGGGACCCCCACACCCTCCTCAGCTCCCTCATCACACTTACTTTGTTAGCAGAGGGGCTGTAATTGTCCCGACCTGGGGAAACACGAGGAGACGTTGTCAGGGATGAATGACAGTACTCGGAAGCATGGGGAGAAGACACATGTGGGCGCCAGGGCCCCTTGAATTCTAAGTCCCCGCTCTGCTCCTGACATGGGAGAGCCACTCCCCTTAGTGGTTTATACACGTGTAAAACAGGCCTGGGGTCTATGCTTCACCCAGCTAGTCATTCAGTTATTAAGCATAAACAAACAGTTACTGGGCACGGGCTGTGGAACCAGATGGGAGGGTTCAGACCCCAGCTCTGTCCTTTACGAGCTGTGTGACCTCGGCCAACTGACTTAACCTCTCTGCGCCTCAGTTTCCTCAACCATCAAGCAGGGACTGATTCAGCAAATAGGAAATGTCTAGGTGGTGCCAGGGGCATTCTAGGTGCTAGGGACACAGCTGTGAGCAAAACAGACAAAATCTCTGCTCTCATGGAGCTTATAATAATAATAATAATAATAATTATAGGTCATCTATACCCAGTATGTGGCTCAGAATGTGCCACATGCTGTACCTGTCTTAGCAGGTACAGTTACTCCCATTTCACAGATAGGGAAACTGAGTCAGAGAGAGTCAGTCACTTGCCCATGGCGACATCATTAATAACGCAGCAGAGCGAGGGCCCAGACCGGGGCAGTCTGGCTCTGGAGACAAACGTTCAGCAAACCGAGCCTCAAGCGCCTCCTTCACGCCTGGCCCAGCGCGGTGTGGTGCTAGGGACGCAGCTGTGACGGTGACAGTTCCAGATCCCCCCTCCTGGGGCTCCTGGTCCACCGGGGAGAAGGGCAAGTCCCCACACAGTGATGACCGAGGGTGAGCAAGGCTGGAGTGCCCAGAGCAGGCGCTTGGCTCATTCTGGGGGAATCAGGGTGGGCTTCCTGGAGGAAAGAGTCTGCAGCTGGGATGTGAGGAGGCAGTTTTGTGTACTGGTTGAGGGAACAAGCTTTGGGGTCAATAGAACTGCCTTCTACTCCTGACTGTCCAGCTGTGTGCGGTGGGCAGGGAACTTCACCTCTCTGAGCAAACATTCCCTTATCTGTAAATGGGGTCCTGGCGGGACCCACTTTGCAGGGTGGCCGTGAGCCTTCGAGGGGCTGTGCAGAGACAGTGCTGCCTGCAGGGAGGGCTCCGCAAAATGCAGCTCTTCTGGTTACAGAATTAGCTGAAGGGCTTCGCTAGAAGGCACCACGGGGAGGGTGTCCCAGGCAGGGGAACAGCCTGTCAAAGCCCTTGAGATGAGAGACCACCAGGCCCTTTTAGAGCCGGGATCAGGGTCCCAGTTCCTGCCACCCCCTCTTTTTCCATGAGTCGTCACTTCTGAGCAAGGCAGATGGAGGAAAGCCGGGGGCCTCAGTGTCATTCCGCCCTCCATCCATCTGGCAGGGGCTTCTGTGTCACTGGAATTAAAAGCCAAAGTCCTTACTGCGACCTTGAGGCCCTACAGGATCTGCCCCACTCCCTAAATATTTGTAAAATGAATCAATGATCCAACGAACAAGATTCCCTGGTCTTAGTGTCCTCGTCTGTGAACGGGGAACCTCATGGTACTGGGGTGAGGATCTGGTGAGAGGTTGCCACGTGGAGGACTTAGCACAGAGCCTGGCACACAGTAGGTGCTCAATTATGGCAGCCGTGGTGATGCTCATTCACGGCAGACAGGCAGGGAATATGTCAAAGAGGAGGGGACTCACGGCAGTTTCTGAGCAGCAGGAAAGAAACCAGGAGCCCCAGCAGGACCAGACCAGCCAGGATTCCCAGAGTCAGGAAGACGATATTCCCAAGGGACGAGCTTGATTGTGCCTGCTCCCTGGGAGGTCCCTCTGGAAGAGAAGAAGGAAGCAGGGGCTTAGGTTCAGAGACTTTGGGGTTTTCACCTGCCCCACAAACGTTATCCCTCATTCCTTTAGGAAGCTACCATTTTGCCTCCCTCAGTCCACATGGTTCAGGTGGACTTGACCCCACCCTCTGGTTCCTCAGATGGGAATTTGACCCAGGCCTGGCCAATCAGAGCACTCCATTCTCCCTGGCTGCTGTGATTGGTTCATAGAGGGGCTCTGACCTCAGTTGAGCCAATGAGAGCCAGCCCTGGGACTTTGGCTAGAGCTATTGAAAGTGATGTATTCTTTCCTCTGGGATTACTAAACTGGTGAGACATGAGCCTGTAGCTGCTGAGGGCCATCTTGCCTCCCTGAGGGGAGAGTCTGCCTGAGAATAAAGGCAGCATAGAGAAAAGCAAAGACAAGAGAGGTAAAGAAAAGTTCCTGGGTTACACAGTTGGAGCACCTGGATCTAACCATACCTGAAGGTGACTTTCAACAAAATCTCATTTTTGCTTGGACTATTTTGAGTTGTTCTTCTATCAACTACAACTGATAGAGTTCTGCCTAATGTACTTAGAAAGGCCTTTCTGAGTCCCTGGGGCAGAGGGATCGCACAATTACCCCAGCCTGGGTTTGCAGAGGCAGTGTATCCAGGTGGCTGTACAATGGTTCCAATGGTACAGTCGTTGAGTTAACAGAGAGTAAAGCTGACCCTATTGGCCCTTTCATGAGGGGGCTTAGGGGAAGGATGGGAGTCAGAGAGCATTCTTGTGGCTGAGGGACCCCCTTCACCGGGGACCTCAGAGGGAATCCTGCTGCGACCTCCTCCTTTGGTCCCTCTGTTCTCCCCACCCAGGGGACTCCTCACCTCTGACCAGGACGGTCAGTTCAGCCTGGCTAGTCCCTAGGTCATTGGTGACATGGCAGATGAAAGTCGTATTGATCAAACTGTCCACGGTATGGATCAGGAGCTGGTGGCCCTGGGCCACAGCAGAGGGTGGCAGGGGACCCTTGGTCCTGGGAGAGAAAGATGGGTGAGAACGTGGCCTCTGCTGGAGGCCTCGAGTGACGGGGTTGAGCAGTCTCTGTATGCCAGGAACGCAGACACCCTCACGCCGTCTACAGTGTAAGCCGACAGCAACCTGGGCACCTGACCCTTCCTCACGCACCCACATCCAGCCCATCAGCAGAATCCTGTCTGCCCCACCGTCAAAATCCAGAATCCGACCACTCCTGGGGGCCTCCACAGCCGCCGCCCTGGCCCGATCCCCCTACTTGTGGGCCACTGCGGCCGCCTTCTCACTGGGCTCCTCGCTTCCACCCCAGCCCCCATCCCACTCCCCCCCCACTCAGCAGCCTGAGAGATCTGGTTAGAACTAAGTCAGCTCACGTCCCTCCTCTGTTCAGAGCCCTCCTGTGGCTCTCACCTCACTCAGAGGAAAGTCCTCACCAAGGCCCCAGGACGGCCCCGACACCACTGACCACGTTATCTGTTTCTCTCGCCCCTGCCTCTACCCATGGTGCCCTCCTTGCTGATCCTCAAACAGAGGAGTCGAGACCCCCAGCCCCTCCTCCCTCGGACCCGGGGTCCGGGGTCCCCGGCCCCTCCTCCCTGAGACCCAGGAGTCCAGGCCCCCAGCCCCTCCTCCCTCAGAGACCCCCAGCCCCTCCTCCCTGAGACCCAGGGGTCCGGGCCCCCGGCCCCTCCTCCCTCAGACCCAGGGGTCCATCCCCCACCCCTCCTCCCTCAGACCAGGACTCACGTGTTCCAGTCATAGCCTGTGGGCGCCGGGTTGCTGCGGACGTCACAGTTCAGGGTGGCCTCACTACGGCCAAGATACCAGTTGTCATCATAGCCGGAGATGGAGACCTCGGGGGGGTCTGGGGGAAACAGACACACAGGCTCAGAGACGGGGAGCCTGCAGAGGGGCCTAAAGATGTGGGATTCATGTCAGAAGAGGAAAAGGCATCAGTGGGTTTCAGGAACAGCCCAAGATGGAGAGGCCAGGGGGGGTCTGGGTCAACGGGTTCCCTCAGAGAACAGAAGCCTGTGAGTCCTCGGCAGGGTGGGAGGCAGCGGGGTGCAGAGAGGGCTTCTGAGGTCCTGCCTCTCTCTACTCGCTTTCCTGAATAGCCAGGTCCCGGCGTGCCTTGAATGTCCTGTGAGAAAAGGCCTCTTGGACACTCGTAACACATAGGAGCATATTCAAGGCTCTGACAAGTCCTGCAGAAAAGAATCCTGGATGACCTTGCTTCAGCCTGCTGCTTATCCATCCCTAACCTGATTGACAGGGAAGATTTTCCAAAGTCCCCAGGGGCAGGGCCAACGAGACAGAGCGTTTTTTTTGTGGAGGGGGGCAGTCAGTGTAGATCCCCTCCTCCCTCAGAACCAGTGGCGATGTTGAGGGGGTCCAGTGTAGACAGTGCCTGAGCGAACCAGTGTAGCAACTGCCCGGGAGGGAGTATTCCACACAGACAATCACAGGAGGACCTAGCCCCAGACAAACCAGTATAGACAATACTGGGGCAGAAGGGGGTGTAGACTACATGGGGGGGACAATGTAGACAATTCTTCAGGGGACCCAGTGTAGATGATGTTGTGGGTCCACGTGAGAGGGTGCCCAGGAGAACCAGTGTGGAAAATGCAGGGTGTCCAGGTAGACAGTGGTCATGGGACATCATGGGGAATAGTGACAACTCCCTATAGCTGGTGGCCTAAGTGACTGGTGTAGACAATGGGGGCAGCGCTATCTGTGGCCCAGAGGAGCCAGTGTAGACGACGGGAAGGCAGTGTAGCAACACGGGCATGGCCAATGCAGAGTTGCACAGGGAAGCCGTTGTAGGCAGTGTGTGTAGACTGTGTTCAAGGGAGCCAGTATAGACAGCGTGGGCTGTCAGTATAGACAAGACAGGGGAGCCAGAGTACACAACCGGGGGGGTCAGCACTGACTGTGACCTAAGAAGCTGGTATGGGCAATGAAGGACAAGTGTTGTTTGTGGTCCAGGGGAGCCGGTGTAGACAGTGTAGGGGGGCGTGCAGACACTAGTCAGGGGAGCTGGTGCAGATGCTGGGGATGACATTGCAAGTGGCCTGCGAGTCAGTGTAGACAGTGGGGGTGGAGGCAGCGGTCCCCGCCCTGGCTCACACTTGGGCACACTCACAGCGCACTTGGAGGATCACGGGCAGCAGGTGGGGCTCCTCGAAACTCTCATGCTCCACCCGGCAGGTGACATTCTTGCCGTCCTCCTGGCTGGAGGGCGTTAAGGTTAAGAGGCTGATGACGGTGACCGTGCCGGGGAGGGGCCCCGGCACCTGGCTCTCATTGGCCTTCTCATTGAGGCACGAGGACCAGGAGATGTGGGCGGGCGGGCGGCCCCCCGTGGAGACGCAGCGGGCCACGGGCACGGGCTCCGGGCTGAGCCTCGGGCTGAGCGGGACCTCCAGGGGCTCAGCCTTGTTCTGGGGCTGCGCTGGGGAGAGGAGCAAAAGGGACGGGTCACGCCTCGCCAGCAGTCACTCCACAAACATCTCGGCGGCAGAGGAGGGCGGCTAACTGGGGTACAGGATGGCCAGGTTCAAACCCCAGCTCTGTCTCTGAGCAATGGGGTGGCCTTGGGCAAGTCTGTGCCTCAGTCTCCTTGTCTGTCAACAGGGGATAATGACAGGATCACGGGCAATGAGAATATATAGGCAAAGCTCTTAAAATGGCACAAAATAAGGACTCAATAAATACTATTATTGGTAAGTGAAAATGTTGCTTGGCTCTATTGGGCAATGTCAGGGACCCAGCAATGACCGAGGCAGCCCCAGCCCTGCCTTCGCAGGGTGCACAGTCCAAGGTGAAGACAGACTTCCCCAGACAGTGACGACCCAGAGTGGGCAAAGCTGGGACGGGGGAGCCCAGAAGGGGTGCCTGAGCCTGGGGGAAGTAGTCAGGGAGGGCTTCCTGGAGGAGAGGACGGCTGAGCCGTGCCCTGGAGGTTGAGAGGGGAAGTAACTGGCTCCAGGTCACACAGTCGTAAGCGACTCAAGTTTCACATAAGGTCTGTCTGACTCCAAAACCATCTCGCCCAGCATTCTGGGGATTTCCAGACCCCGAGTTTCACTTGATTCCTTCTGCATCGTCACCTGGGCTGTTATTTACCGCAGATTTCTCTTTAATTTCACTCACGGGTTCTGTGTTACCCTCATCCTAACCCATGAGACCTGAAGTCCCAGATTTGCTGAAATGCAAGAGCCACTTTTCCTTGGGTGCGGTGTGCCAGGCACTGTGCCAAGAACTAACCTTGCACAAGCCACTCCCTCGAGGCTTGGAACTGTACCTGGCACAAAGCGAAAGACGACTGTGAGCTCTTATTAATCCTCCTAGCGACCTCCATTTCACAGATGAGGCAAGTGAGGCACAGAGACGTCTTAGTTTCCAAGAGGAGGGCCTGTCCTCGTCCCGGGATGACAACGCCCCGGGGCACCCGGGCCCTGCGGGGGAAGCGCTCCTCTCCTGGGGCTCAGAATCTCTCCCTTCCAGTCTGTCTCAGCTCTCCAAACGGTGTAACCAGACCGGACAGCTAGGAGGCGCTCATGCGCCATGTGTTCTAGGCGGTTCCCCGGGATAAACAACTGGGATGCTCAGCACGGCTTTCCGAGGGCAGCGCGTTCTCACGAACGCTCTTTGCAGATGAGGAAAGGAGGATCCGAAATGACCCCACTTGCCCGAGCTGGCAGCGGCCGAGCTGGGAGGCAAACTCAGGTCACCCCGCTTCCCAGACCCCCTCCCAGTACTCAGCGCCGCCCCTCGTCCCCGGGATGTTCTGCCCCCAGTCTCCAAGATCTTTACCTAACCCTCTGGGATCCCTACGATCTTGCGGTCCTCCAGCCCCTCCTCCTCCGCGTCCCCCATCACTGCCCCACCTCCTTCTTTTGTCCCAGGGAATCTCGGCTCTGGAGGCAGGCCCTCCCGCCGCGCCCCCCGCGCGCCGCGCCCCCCGCGCGCCCCCTGCAGCTCACCGAGCACGCGGAGCCAGGTGCGCGCGCTCCTGCTGCCCTGCGGGAACAGGGCGAACTGGCAGGTGTAGTTGTCCTCGTCCTCCGCGCGCAGCTCCCGCACGGCCAGCGACGCGTCCCGCAGCTCCTCCCCGGGCCTGGCGGCCACGAACTCCAGCCGCCCGGGCTTGGCGAAGCTGGGGCCCTGCGCGGGGTGGAAGACGGCCACGCTGGGGGCGCCCGGCCGCGCCTGCCGCGTCCACGTCACCTGCGTCACCCGCACGTCCCGCTCCGGAGGCTGCAGGCGGCACGGCAGCTGCGCGGTGGCGCCCAGGAAGCCGCGCACCTGCGCGGGGGCCAGCACGTCCACCGTCGCGGTCCCTGCGGGGAACCGCGAGGCGGGTCACACCCGGGCGTCCCCGGCCTGGATGGACCCTGGGGCCTGAGCCCCTTGGGAGGGG